AACAGACAATGGAAGGAATGATTTCTTAATAAACGAGATCCTGATTTTATGCAATAAACCTTAATAACATAAAATGAGGGGATGGGAAGCAAAAAGCAATACTTTCCTGGAAATCTAATAAGAGTGCTTTTTTTGCAAGCATCAAAGTGCTATGCAAAAATATGAAATGAATAAACAAATCAAATTAAAAAGCCTAGTAACTGGAGAAATACTGGGCTAAATTCATGCCTTGTGGAACAGCAGCAACACTGATGAAGTACATCAGGGACGGACTTGGCCCACTATGTTTTGAGCATTAATTTCAGCAGGAGCAGTGAGTCAACAACACAAACCCCACGCAGTGAAGAACTTCGCCCTGCCACCATTGCGAGCACCAAGCACAAGGTTTGGATTAGTAAATGGTAAAAATGCAAAAGCTAAACATTTTTGCAAGTCAACCCCCCCATCATTATAGAGTATAAAATAAAGAGCAGTGTTAGGAACAGAGACAAGGTGGAGGCAAGTCATCTTGAGAAAGGCAATTCTTTCCAGTGAATTCAGTAGTCCTCTCTACCTGAAGACCACAACCAGGCCGCCCACCAGCTGCGCAGGCTGCCCTGCACTGCTCCTCCCCTCATGCCTCAGGTACCTCCTGAGGGACACATCAAGGCGAGAAGACTCAGTCATGGTGTTGTGCTGTTAACCCCCAGGGAGGGCTGTTGACACAGTGGGATGGGCCTACAGTTGGCTACCTGTGAACGAACCCTGGGCAAACCAAAGCAAAGCAATTCCTTCCCCTTTTTACGTGCATGCAAAGGTGAGGGCTGTGAATGCTCTTTGCCAGCCCCTCGCCTAGCTGTTGCCTGCCCAGCAGCAATGCCGGTGTGGAAGCCCCCCATGCTGCACGCGGGACTGTCCAGGAAGGATTCAGAAAAACCATGCCTGACCAGCCACCTACCTGTCTGATCCTCCTAGCCTGTCTGCTGAGACAGAGAGGCTGGCAAAGGACTCTCATGACGGTGCTTTTTCCTAGCACAGGTATTTAGCAGCTCAGGATGACGATACCAACCATTTTGGACTTGTCAGTCCTACTACAGCACAACTTGGACCCAAGCATGGCCATGTAGAAAAGCCCTCACGTTCCCCACCCCCTCCTAACTCGAGCCAGCAACTCTTAAAACTCCACTGAGCATTTTTCAAAAGTTCTCCTACAAGGTTTATGTCGACCTTTCAACAGTCCTGGGTACTCATGGCAGAAAAGCAGGTAGCACCTTTCTACCATTAAATGTATTAAAAGTAGTGGTTCTGTCCCCTGCCCAAAATGCAGTTACGCAGGTGTGATCTGGACTACTATCTGAAATCAATTACAACCATTAGAAAGAGTAATAGAAAACCTAGTACACAACCAGTTGGGGGGGGAAAAACCTGTCACTTGTGATAAAAAAGAGAAACAGAAATGGATTTGAAACATTCGTTTCCCTTTATTTGCTCAGTGAGGCTGATGTGTACTGCACATTTAAAAAAAAAAAAAAATCACAGGAATTTTCATACAATGAATTAAACCACAAAAGTACATGTAGAATTGGCAGGTGGAAAATAGCCCAGTTTGGGCTTAACTAATGTCTCACTTTGCCTGTTCAGCATAGTCCAACCAATAGCTTTACATGTTCACCTACTGTACAAGTCTTACAGTAGCTCCATCCGGTCAGTGGTTCACATTATTGAAAATGTCTGTCACATAGGTACAAATTTAGAATCATCACATTATATTACATGGCTATTCTAGGTCATTTATAGATCAGATCTTATACTACAGTGATTGAAGTTCTCATTACAGCCATCAAAAAGGACACATAATCATTACCTACTGTAAGCTTACATCTAAAGGGATGAGAAGGTGTGGTTGGTTTTTTTTTTTTCAACTGACCCAAGTATTATACCCCAGAGGCACAAACTTTCCTCTCGGTGCTGCTCTTGGTGATGGCAACCCAACTGCTTTTCAGAGTAGTTTAGCATAGGTATTTTTCTTCAATTTTAGGCTCCCTCTGTTTGGATTTGGATCATTTTATGTTCTGTAGGAATTACTTTGTTACAGCTCTAGGAAAGACCATAGTTTCTAAGTACCAGTTCTGTTACCTGTATTGCGGAAGTGGTACTTACCACAGCATGAAAGCAACAGTACAATCTTCATCTAAAAGACACGCAGAGCTATGCTGCAATTTGCCTCCGGTGACAATGTGGTACATGTGCTAATTTGAAATGTTCTTGTGGGAGGAAAAAAGAAAGGAAACATCGAGTTTATATTTTGATGGGTTACCTACTACACTGTCTACAAAGGATACAAATAGCTTTATTCAGCAATCCTAGCTCTATTAATTTAATATGTAATTTGTAAATCCACAGAGGAAAGCCATCTTCAAGATGAGAATGTTTGCCAGGCCAGTGAAAAAAAAAATTGACTCATGTCATTATGCCTGCTTGGTGAAAAATAAATAATCCCCCCCTCCAAACCCCACACCAATTTATTAATGTCAGCAATCTAGGGCAAAAGAGAATGTATTTAAAATTTAGTCACAGAAATTTAAAGGCAAAATAGGTAATGCATCTGGTCCTTGAACACATAATATGATATACTAAATATTGATTTCTTAAAAATAATTTATTGCTTTTAATATTTTTCTTTACAACAGAAGATACTCAAAATCCAGAAAGGAAAATTGTAAACTTTTAGTTTGGCATTCACACAAAGTTAAAATACCTGCATTTTTAACCTACAGAGCAACAACAAGAATTATGCAGATTAAAGAATGTTACAGTCGTAACACAGAACCTCTGAAAAAGTTCTTTTTTTTTTATTGCTATCTATCTACTCAGAAATAAGAAGCCAAAAAATCAAGCAAGCATCCGACAGGACAGACAGTGGAATCTCTCAGAACACAATATGCTGGTGATAAAATGAATGCAGCCATCAAAATCAACTGCACTGGCATGGGGGTGGAATCGGTTTTCTAAGATTGGGAGTAGGAAAGGAGATTAAATAGTTAGGTGTGCCATACCTTTAAGAGGAGTCATGAATGCCAAACAGTAATAGAATACCAAATCTATACATTCGCAAGCAAATTCCAAACTTTGCTGATTCAGTCTAGAGACTCTGAGTTCAGATGAAATTCTGATGCTCAGAATAGCAGTAGTTTACTCTTGTGGCTTTTTTCTTTCCTGAAGTTTCTATTTAATTTAGCAGAAGCAATGTCATCAGCAACAATGTCATGGGCACATCTGAGGCCATGCTAGTGCATAGTAAAAAAAGAAAAAAAAAACAACAACCCACTGCTTCTGCAAAAGCTGAATTTCCAAACGAAGCACTTACTCCAAACCGACAACCGTCATGCATCCTACGTATAAAATTTCCACTGGCCTTTTTATTATTTTAGTCATCTCATAATTTATAATAAATAGGATAACTGTAACTGATAAATATGTCTCTTTAGTAAACAAAGGAATGAAGGATCGGTATTTATACAGGATGCATAACTGTAAAAAATATAGATAAATACCATCATTAAACTCTGCCAATGAAAAGATTACTGGCTTCAAGAACAGTGTTTAGACACAGAATTACTGTAAAAATCATACTGTACTTAGTACCTCAGCATATTTTTATCAAATTAAAATCACAAAAATTAAAACAAAATAGCATTTTAAAAAGATTTTTGACCTCTAGTTCCAAAACTACTGTTGATACATAAAATAAAAACATTTCTTAATGATTACCCATTTGAGAGACTTTACATAAAATTATGATATCTCCTAGAAAAATTTAGATGAGAAAATTTCATTCCCCTAACAAATTCAGTGTATAAAACTGCAAAAGAAAATCAAGCAATGAGAAAAATGTGGAAAAATACTGCAGAAGTGGTTAATACCTTTTGGGCTAGGATAATTCTTGACAAAATTCTTATATAAGCTCACCAAAGAAGGGATGAATGTGTGTAAAGCATTTTTGCACTCAGACACACGCGCGCACACGTATACACACGCACACCCTCACCCACACGCTTTTCTCTCTTTTTTTTACAATCAAATATATATAAGCATAAGTTCAGCTTTCTACATATGTTAGTGTACAATAATTGTTTCACCTCATATAATTACATTTGAGTATTCTTGATTAAGAAAAATTCAGCAGTTTTTGAAAAGAAGGCTGCATTTACAGTGCATAGCTGTAACAAAAAAGAACGTCATACAGTATTTACATAAATAAAAATACTCCATTTAACATTTGTAAATACTCAACTACTTTAGAGAATGTAGCAAATAAACTATCTGTGCACACACCCAGATAGTTATATCCAACTCTCATTAATAATGTAACACCACGTCCGCTCATTAGAATAAATCGCTGAACAAGCTGCACATTTGACCATTAACAAGGCTTTGAAAATTTTGCTGTGGAAGATCAACGTTGTAGACATTTACATGGGTGTCAGAATTAAAAGATGAAACTTCAAAATGTTAGGGAAGCTTGAGCCTTTCATTTTCTCTTCTGCAAGGACTAAAAAAAAAACCACACCAAAAAAAAAAAAACCCAAAGAAAAGAAAAATCTTGAAACAAAGCTAAAACAGATTGTAGGCTTCTGGGACCTGTGGTTTCTTCTGGATTGTCGTATTATCACTGTGTTGTGAGAAGAAGCGTCATTTAAAAAAAAATAATAATGCAATGTCTGATTCCCAGACATCAGCAGCCATAGTTCTCAATTATTTTTTTTGTTTGTTTTTGTTCTTTTTTTGTTAAAATGCAGTATGTACAGATTTTGCAGTTCATCATTGTACGTGTATCTCTGTGGAACTGCTGCCATGTCTCGTGGTTTGCATCGGACTCGCGAGGAATGCCCGGCTCCCCCGCCACCGATCACCCGCGAAAGCAAAGCTGACACCCATGGACACGTGTGTGCTTACTGGACAGCCATCCTGCCTCTCCACTCATCGAGCAGCTGTGTTCATGTAAACCATGGTTTTCAACAGAGAGTGTAAAGTAGGAGCAATTCCTAAGTATGACTTTTTAATTGTCCATTATTGAAGGACGTGATGTCCGTGAGGTATTCGCCATCCCTCCATTTTCCTCAGGTGCGATGCATGTTACCTACGCAGGCTCCGCTGTGCCTCTTTGAGTAAACTATCAAAATCCATGGAGTCATACTTGCTTTTAGTGGAGGCAGGATCAAAATCATCTGAGTTTGAATCTGAAACCCAAAGGAAGTAAGTTTAGATAAGAGGCAAGAACCACTAGAGAGTACTTATATTATTTTCTCTGTACAACGGTAAAAACAAGGCACTGCAGAAACAATCCACTTACAACAACAACTTTATGGGATGATAAAAGCCCAGCAACTGTCATCAGAGAAGCTTTCGGTATGGACAGAGACTTCTGGTAAGAAGCAGGACTTAACAAAAGCAGTACACATCAGCAGCAGTGGCGGAGAAGCATAAATTGCATGTACATATAGAGGAGGTAAACTCAAAACAGTTTCTCCAAGGAGTTGAGCACCGACACACTGCTATGTATAGGTCTCAAAGCAGTCCAAATAAGATCTTAACAGATGCTTTACCCAAAACTCCACCATTGTTTTGCAACTGTTGTTTTGCAACACACAATATCCAAGACTTACTTCTCCTGAGAAGCGTAATAGGGGATGCTTATGCAGAAAGCCAGGGCAGCCTGCAGGCAGCACACTATGGACACTGCTGCCTCTGCCTGCCTTCCCTCAGGGTCTTGTACAGGTCACTACACTTCCCTGGATCTCTGTTTTTGCTTCCACTCTGATTTTTTGGGTGTTTGCTTGTTTAGAGTGAGAGCAATTCAGGGCAGGGCCTCTGCACTGCCGTACAAGCAATCTCAGGTGGGCTCCTCAGCTTTTTGCAGCATACATGATAAGTCATAGCAGCAATAATAGTCCAGTTCCTGTGACCTGTGATACCTGCTCCAGCTTTGCTAGTTGCTCAGACAGAGACGTCAGTCTGCTCCTAGCGCAGAGGAGGGATTGTACGTTTGCGGCCATACAGCTCCAGTACAGCAATTCTTGACATGGCTGCAAGCACTGAATTTCCTTTTGGAGTCATCCCTGCTTAACACTGACTCTCCCCAGTTCCTGTGTCCCAGCTCCTTTACGAGAGTGCCCTTTTCTTGCCATTTCTTGTGTTGAATTAATCAGAACTTCGCATCTACCACTAATGCACTGTGCATTAAATGTTCATTACAGGTTCTGTTAAGACAATATCTTCTCACAGAGGAGAGGTGTTAAACTTCTGACTACTATTTTCAAGTGTTTTCTTTCTTCTGTACTCAACCCAAGGCTGATTAATTCTCCCTGTCCTTGTACCAGCTCATGAATTTTAAAGTTCATCCTGCCATTTCTTTATGTAGCTCTATCAGATACTCTGCAAAATACAGGGAATGCAGTCTGAAGTACAGAAGCTCAAGCTGTCAGCAGGACAAAGTGAAAATACTCTGCTCACAGATACTCTGGGAATCCCACTCAGTATGGAGAGACCTGCCAGGGAATACTCCCAGTGATGAATAATGTTCAAGAGGGTTCCCTTCAGACAACTTATTTTAAACCCCAGATTTTCTGAGATACAGAGACGACCCTGGCTTCCACTGCTGAAGATAAGTCAAATCAAGTCAAGACTTCAATCTGTTTTTACTGTTTTTATCAGCCTACATTTCAACAAATGCCTTACTACCTTTCATATTTTCAACATCAACCCTATATCTCTTCAGCAGTCAATTGCCTTTTCTTAGCTTTACATTATCTGTTTAGCCACTGAAGTGAATTATAGCATATTCATTGTGAACAATACGTATCATCTTTATCATTTATTCTGAAAAGACATCAATTGGTTAGAGAAAATATATCTGTATTCACTTCTTGCATTGTACAAAGCTGAGGGCAGCACATACAAGATTTCATTAGCACTGTGTTACACCATTATGAGAGATTTTAATGACTGTGGTCATTTATTCATAAAAAACCACAATATCTGATTAATATAGATTCAACAGCAAAATGTCCCTTGCTATGTTATTCAGAACAGAGTATCCCCCATACCTTTAGTCTATTTATACAGGTATTAAGAAAGGTTTAATATTTAATGAATACTTTACATTTTAAAAGGTAATTAAATAAGAGGTGAGTTTACAATATATTATAATATTGCAGAGGATGTTTTGGTAATCTGCATGGTCTCTTTATGCATATACTTTACATCAGTATTCCTGCTGTAAGACTTTGAACATCTCCAAACATACTTTCAAGGTGAAGCATCACACCCTGACCCACAGCATATGACAGAAGCATACATTTGTTCCCAGAAGGGACTACGAGAGACCCAGATGTGTTACCACAGTGAGTATGCACACTTGGGACTGGAGTTATCACAGCATACTGGGGTCTGGAGACTGGTACGCATACTGCCCCACATCAGTGGAACAGCAAACACCAAGAGATTTGCTAAGCTCTCCACAGGCTGGAGCCTCCTACATCATGACTGGAAATCCCTGCAAGGAGACACCTTCATACATAGATGCTTACACATGATTTGAGAATGACCAGTTGAGATCTGTGGCCTTTGCTATCCTAAGGGTCAGATTTGGTCACAAGCCCTTCTAGCTTTCAAACCTGAGAAACTATGAACTGTGTTTAAGGAGTGTCTCTGGCAAGTTCTACCCATCTATAGCACAACCCATGGCAAAGTAAATCATAATGAATTTTCGGGGGTTTTGTTCTCTGTTTATCACTCATATAAATAAATCAGGTATTAGAACCAAGCAGTCATAGCATAGCAATGAATAGTAAAGCGTGCAGGAGGTTTCTGTGGTGCTATCATTTTGATATGGAAATGTATTATTGAATATTGAGCACTTATTTTTGATAATGATGAAAATGGGCTTTAAAAGAATTTTCACAGTCTGAAATATCTGAAAGAAGCCAGCTCAGATTAGAGCTCAGATTAGCAGACTTTTAAACTTCTTGCAGCAAGTGAAAACCACTTCCTTTAACCCCCCCAATCATTTAAATAATATAAGCAGCAAACAAAAAAGAAGCTAACCTTAAATTCTCCAGAGTTACAAGGTTTCAGTTACGTACTTTAACTCACATAGAGCAAAAAACCTACCTAGGTCTGCATAGTTAGACTTGTAAAATTGCTTGCGTCCACAGAAGTACAGCTCAAAGTCAGGTTCATTTGACCTGCGTAAAGTGTATCCATTTTCAAGAGCAGCAAAGGCGTCACAAGTATAGCGGTAGGTGATGAAACCATAGCTGTCTCTGCAATTGAAAAATACAGTTGTGAACAAAAGCTGAAAAGACTTAACACACATTAGTGTAACCCCTTCCTGAAAGCAAGAACTTGCAGGAGATCCAGCAGTGGAAATGCCAGAAGTACTGCATCCATTTATCAGCATGATTGTCCTGTCATGCAGCTAAATACTTATTTCTGGGACAGGAAATCTCAACTAGCAAGATTAATAAATAAGGATGAAAGAAAATAAATAAGGTTTTGAACTCGGCATGTCATCTGTCATAGCACTTACATTGGTAACTCCCATACCAGTAATCTTACTGCCATAATTTTTTACATATGGCAGCTCCCAAACAAGAAGTAATCTCAAAAGTTCTTACCCATCATCCCGCAAATTTACTGTGCACTCCTCAATTTCACCAAAAACTTCAAACCGGTCCCTCAGTTCTGTTCGGGTTGTGTCAGGTCTGATTTTACCCAGATAAATCACACGACGTTCTTCCTGTTGAGAAACAGCAACAGGGAAGGCATATTTTTAACAAATGTGTAATAGAGATGAGCCCATACATACATGCATGCAAATACACACACATGGATGTGCAGAGGATGTGTAATTATAGTAATAGCCTCTTGTGGAAGACCTACTGCATCTTTCTAGTAAGTGAAATAGTTCTCTCCTGGAAAGCATCTGAGGTATTTAAATGACACTACATTTATCAGGTGGTGTGCTCCTGGAGGGTTTCACTGCTTGCTGTCACTGTTTTGCTATACAATGACAGACAGCTCCCTTTGTATCCTACTGCACCTTCTTTCTTTCCACCCTTTCTACCACTTGCCCTCCAAGACTGTAAACTCTTCCAAACCAGGAGCTCCCTTTCTCTTGCCATCTAACAATACTGGGCAAGATCCGTCTTAGTTGTGGAGTAGTATAAAGTAACACAATAATTGCATAAATGTACCATAGACAGAACGGAATGTATTACAAACATAACATTATAAACTCAGATGACTCAATAGCTGATTCATCCTGCAATCAGCTGTTCCACTATAATCCATACCTTAAACTAGAGGGAAAACTGTTAGGCATCCAGAAGATGACTTTTATTAAAATGAGTATTTCTGGGGGGAAGGCAGGACAATAAAATATATCGTGTAGTCACCATTACCTTTTGGTTTCTGCAGAAAAAAAACCTGACTGAAGTCCTTGATTTTTACAGGCTAGGGTGTCATTTGCATATTCCTTTGACACTTGGAGCAAAGCATCAAAGATACTTTTAAAACAATCGAGTCATGGTCATATCCTTCCTTCCTGAGAGAAAATGCTCAGCAGAATGACAGAAGGACTAGGAAACCCTGTGAGAGTCACTTTATGAATTTTTGGATGAACACTTTACTGAGGGTAGAGACATTTAGCGAGCTGCAAGCAAAGCAAAAGGCAAAAAGATATCTTCAAAACACTGACCTTAAGGTAATCAGGGCAAAGAAGCACCAGCTACACACGGCTTGGGTGCTCAGCCTTCCTGTCTCACATTGCCTCTGGCCTGAAGAACCCTGGCACTACTGGCCCTCCTGCTCATTGCTTACACACTCGCACATTTGTCCCATAAATCGAACCACCAACACCACATTCTCAGCTGGTGTAACTCTGTCAGTCAGTGGAGCAATGTCAGTTTAAACCATCAGCTTTGGCACCTGAGACTTGCACAGAATTTAGGTGCCGAATGCCGAAGGAGCTATACTGACTGCTGAGAATTCATGACTATCGTAACCTGGAGGTGCCTAAAGGCTAATGGCACCTCAAGTGTGCAATGCAAAAGGCTCTAGGGACCTAAATATAGCCTTGCATTCCTGCTCAGAAACATCCTAGCCTGAAGAGACAGGTAGCTTGCAGTGTTACAATTCAGATATAGCATGAAATTTTATCTTTTCCATGAGTCCCCACAGAGGCGTAAGGCACTAGTCATTCTTGGACCGCGGACAACGGGATTGAGATCAGACCAAAACACATGTAGAAACAGAAATGATCCTGATGCCTCTTCTTTACTTGTTTGAGCACTCATTTGAGAGAAAGGGACCATCAGAACTCTTAGCTATGGGGGCCCAAAATCTTGGCTCCCTGTTCCCAGGAGAGCACTCTGGTCCCAGGAATCGTTTAATGCAAAATAAATAAACAATTCCTGCAGCAGGAAGCTGAAACCAATATATCTGCCTTCTAACAGAAACTCCTTCTCACTAGCACATTCAGTCAACTATTTTCGCTGACTCTTTTCCTGGCCTCACAAATCTCAGGGGCTCAGATCCAGTTAATCTAAGCTCCTGAGAAATGAAAGTGACTTCAAAGCTCCAGAAAACAGACATCCAAGAATCAAACACTCCTACCCAAACGCCCTACCCACTAAGGTATGGCACAAGAAGTGACCATTGGAACCACCTGGGTCCTTTATAGCTCCCCAGTCAGCCCAGCGGAGTCCCTGGTTGCTCTACCAAAGTATGTATATGCTCTCCTTAATCAATGGGATCAGGTAAGTATCTCATTTAGATGCTTGAAACTACTGCCTCTTTTAATTATATAAGGAACCAAGGTGACTGCCTTAGTAGTCCTCTATAACCCTGCTGGGACAGACACTTTCATTTTTAAATGTTAGGCATTCCAAAGTGCGTGCTCCAAAAGCTGTCCTTGTTCTCTGCCATAGCAGTGCAGGTCGGAGAAGCTAGCATGGCTAGAAGAAGGACAAGTGTGCTCACGGGTAGCCATAAATTTAGGGAAGAGGGCTACTTTACAGATAGCAGCTGCTTTTTATCTCTGTCTCTACTGTGTCCCAGTCCAGAGCCCCGACCCTCGACAGAAGAGTTTGGGTAGGGTTTCTGCGAATGAGGGGCTGTAGAGAGCAAGCCACAGAAATGTGCATTTCTTCCATTTTCCCCATTCTAATTCTGCTTACTTTCAGTATGGTTGGGTGCCATAAACTTCAAAACCAGGAAAATCTGCATATGCACAGTAATTACTTTTTCAGACTGTTTTACCAAATCAAGGATTTAACCGCACTGAAACACTTGATAAGAAACAATTCCACTGATACTTGCTATTGAACCTAAATGACTGACCAGATGGAGCAGAACATAACATAGCAGACTGTCTAATATACTTCAGCTGAGATAATACATCTCGACTGAAAAAACATAATGTTTCACTCACTGACATGGATATTGTTATATTACAGTGTGATGGAAATAACTATTGTACTCTCTTCCATAAGTCTGTGTGCATGCCTGAACAATTTTTCCTTCTTCTATCCCTCTAATAACCTTTATATCTCTAATATCCCTTTAAGACAACTGTAATAAAACAAAACTGAACAATTAAAAAAAAAGCCTGTTAAACTATCATTAAGGGAATAAGTTAAACCTGCAAAATTAAGGAAATTCAAATTTAAAGCTGAAATGCACCATATGTCCTCCAGTGTGCACACATGAGGAGATGTGTTCAAGTATTTTTCTTAAGCAGAGTGCCATGATGGTACACAATACTGGAGAGCACAGAATTCATACAGCATTGTCTTTGCCTTGGTTAATTTTGGTTTATTTAAAGCAACTATGAAGAATGTATTTGTATTCGCAGAGACACCTGCCTTTTATTCCCATTAATAATAAGAGCTATACAAGCCTAACAAGATTACAACATACCTCTAAATGTTAAAGACCTTTATTTTATAATAAGTTGCATGCATAAGTCCATATGTACATATTAAGTATGCTTTTTATTGCACTTGTTAGAGGACACGATATATGACTTGGAAACCTAAAGAATGGCAGAGAAAAGCTTTTGTTTTCAATTTAACGTGGGCAGAGGGAACATGCAGGAAACTCTGGAGGAGAGTGTTCATATTTCTCTCCCAAAAGTGCAGGTGATTTATTTTGCATCATAAGCTTTAAGTGTAGTTCATTGCTTTGCCAGGTAAAAAAAGGAAGAAAGAAGAGTCCAGCCAACTCCCTCAGGCCCAACATGTCTGTATTCTTTTGGTTTATCTAAAGGTCCTTCCTCATAATCTTGCTCTTTCTTCCTTGCAGTAAAATCATTTGAAGAGGCAGATGTGGCAGAAAATCTCAGACTGAAAAGCAGTATTTCAAGTCCCAAATGAAAATACTAAAGCATTAGAATGCCAAAACTTGAAAAAACTGGACGAGGATATACCTTACACATCTAAGGGTCAATAATGGGACCGCTCATCCTACAAAACATTCACTGATGCTAAGAATCCTTTTGTCTTGCAAAGGCTTCCTCCAAAACTTTGTTTTCCCTTCCTCATTCTTAATCCTTTCTTTCACAAGGAACTAAAACGCAGAACATTAGATGTCTTAGTTTTCGCATGTTTTTTTGTACTAGGCTTCTTCACCCAACACTTGCTTGCTTTGCCTGCCTGTGGTGGTCCTAAGCAGGGTCTGTGGGAACTCAAGGCAGCCACTCCAGAGATAACACCGCATAGTGCTGCTGTCCCCGTTTTCCCTACTCCTTTTTGTCTGCTCATCTGTGGTGCATAGCTAGTTCTCCAAGAGCCAGGTAATGCTCTATGTGAAGCTGAGAGAAGAAATCCAGGGGCATTTTAAAGCTGGGGTCTGCCATGGGCTTGTCAAAGGCTCTGCTGCTTCCTCCAGCACAGGCAGCTGGCTGGATGCAAGCCCCGTGCCTGTGTTGCCTTCCATGCCGAGGGACTTCTCTTCCAGTAGAAAGTCATGAAGACTTTTATCCTTAGAGCTGGATGCCAAATACCATTTTGAAAGTGCAATGGGAATGGTTGGACAGAGTTTAAAAAACCAGAAATGCTACGGATGGAAAAAGCCATTAAAGCTTAAGATTCTGATGTAATAATAAAGAGAAAAAATTTCTTTAGATTCTGTATTAAAGAAGAAGAATTATGACCTGTGGGCGAGTATAAATGGCAAAAGAAAGAATCATGAAAACTGGGAAAAAAAGAAAGAACATTCGATAAAATTGTCAAGTGCTGCTGTGTGGCTAACTGAGGACTGAAACAGTTCAGCCACACTCCATGGTGACTGCTAGAAAAATAATGATGGACCAGTAAACCTCAAGATTTAGGTAATCCATTTGATACGTTCTCAGCAACTCATACAGCAAAGTTAGAGTGCCTGGGATCAAGGCCATCAAGATGAGCAACGACAAAAAAGTCCAAACTAAATATACAATGTACATTGGATCCTTCATTAGTGGAAATGCATTCCATTATAGGCTGACTCTGGTTTTAGACTTTAGAGAAGCCAAGCATTCATTTATGAAACCACCTTTCTCCTGCCTTCCTGTTGTAGAGCAATTTATTTTCTTTGAAACCATGTGTTTCTTTCCGCTGCAGTGGCCTCACAGTGCATTTATCTTCTTACGTCTATAAGCTCTCTGGGACAGGGACTCTTGATACTTGTCTCATGGAGGCTGTCAGCACTTAGAAATGAAAAGTAGTAATGTTAATAGTAATTTTCTACTCAGGTATAAAAGCTGATTTTGTTATACCTCCTGGCAGCAGCCAGCGCACACAGTAAATGAGCTACAGGGAGGATGTGACCATAAGTCAGTATCGTGGCCAGAGTGGCAGAGTAGCAGACATCCAGCACACCAGGCTGCTCAGCAGACAGTTTAACCTCCCAGCCCTGGTGCACCATGTCAATGGGGAACCATGAACTGGTGACTCCAGAACTGAAATGTGCTAACTGTACTTCTGACGCCATGCCTTGGAAAGTATTTGTCGCATGGTCTAATGAGCTGCTGGAGTAAAAGCCCACATAACTCAGAAATTTCCTGGGGTGTATCAGAATAAAAAAAGGGTCCTCAGTCTTCTTGGCAAATCACTGTGCTCTGCTTTGGTTAGGGGTTGTATCCCAGGTTCTACAAAGCCCTAAGCAGACTGTCCTGTCCTGCAGTTGCTCCTCAAGTTTCATGACGAATGCGTCTCCAGTATGATCTGGTTAACTGTATAAAGTTAAGTAAGTCTTGGTGGCAGACCATCCTTATGTTCAATGAGGACCCATTCTAAAACAAAATGGGGACCCAGTGAAATAAATCAAGTCAAAATAAAATTAAACTATGCTAACGTTTGCTCTGTTAGCAAAGGCATCACAATCAAAAGTATAAATAAATAAAGGAATGAATGAATGAATGACAAAAATGTTTTTCTTAGTCTCTAACTGGAAAATATCTTGTGGGCTCAGCCCGTATTTTTCAAGCATGACTGCTCATAATTAAGACCCCAATCCACAAAAAAGGCACTGAATCTCCAGTAACTGGAGAGGGGAAAAGAAGAAAAGGAAGAGGAGAAGAATATCACAGTACCTTTTAAAGCCAAGCCACTTGTATAGAGCTGTAAGTCTAGATAGCTATTCGGGAATCCATACAGGGAAACGCTAGCCCAGGCTTCTAGCTGATGTGAAGCTACTGCAGCAGAGATGTTGTGTGCAAGACTGAAGGGGCAGCCATTTAAACACGCCTCCACCACATGCTTCTAAAACAAGCCCCCTCAGCATTCTGCCAATATGCCTTCAGGTCTGCCAAAATACAAGCTGCCTGCACAATCACAGGGCATTGCTTCACATATGGTTTTGACAGACTAAAATATGTGAATTTTTTTCTCATTTCTTTTTCCTAGGTTTCCCACTTTTGCCACATGGAGACTAATTCTAGACATTGAACCAATAATACCTGATGGCTTTTAGCTCAGTCATAACTTCTGTTCCCTTTCTACTATGCATCCTTTCTACAACTAACTCCTGAGATCATAGCATGGTGCTTCTCATGAAGAAAAGCCACCTGCCCTGTGTAACACCTGAGGCATTAGTACTGCCCAATCTTCAGGCCATTCTTTTAAGAGTGTCTGATGGTATGTGGCCATGAGTCAATTCTGGCAGCATGAGAATGGGCTAGAAAGAAAATAAAAAATTCCTCAATGCAGAGAGGAAAGAAATCTAAATTTATGGGACTGTAGAAAGAGTTCAAGGAAGGAGAGAGGACATTCTTGTGGCTGAACCATAGATGAGTGGAGTTGAGTTCCTCAAGAAAGAAGAGAGTAACACAGAAGAGACCCATAAGCCAAAAGGAGTAAGAAAAGGAGCAGAGAATGCTAGAACTAATCAGATTTTATCACTGACTTCATGGGATCAGGGCTTCCCTTTCTCTGCTGTCCCCTAACCCCTACTTATTTGCACAGGGAATAAACTGGCATGACTGAATACAGATTTTTAAAGTAAGAGTGCTGATAGACTTTGGATAAAGGAGTGAATAGGATTTCATCTATATCTCCTGCAACTCTTACACAGGTGACTGAATTTTAAGCTTTTGCCATGTTCTGTTTATTGATATTTATTTTTTAGTTTTGATTTATTTATGTTTATTAATAAATAATTTCATTAATGAAGTTAATCATCATGACAATGCTCACTTTAGAAAGAAAATAAATTCAACCTTGGTTTTGAAACGTTTAAAATTTTTAACACAGGAAGTTACGATGCAGCATATCTGGAGCTTTTAAAGTTTCTTTTCTTTCCTTTTTCCTTTTCTCTTGTTTAGCTACTTGCCAATTATTTGTTTGTTTTAAACTAAATCAAATTTTCTACCTCCTCTGCAGGATTCATGTTTATTTATACTGGTAAGATACAATAATTGAGAAGTAGCAAGATACACCCATGACAGAGGTCTACTTGAATCTCTACTTTGTGTTAGATCTAAGAGAGAACAGCCTGTGTAAGTTATGATTGCTGTAAGGTAGTGTTCATCTCTAAGCAGATGGAAGCCAGCTATTTTAAAACTAACTGCAACAATTGACTTAAATTGTTAAGTTGTATAGCCCTGTCTGAATCCAAGCAAAATCATTCCATTGCCTGCACTGAGTTTCAGACCAGCACAGCAGAGCATGTTACAGCTCTAAATCTCATGCTTTACAAAATACACCTATCACCCACACTTTGTAGCTAGGGCACCTGAAGCGGACAAAAGTGAAATGATTTGATGAAGCTCACTAAGAACAACAGTAGCATAGACAAAAATCAGAAAATAAAAAGGTCTATTCCCTCCCAGAACTTCTCGTCGCTGTAGACTACACCAGCCTCTGTCAATCTCTACACACTCTGTAGGTGTAAGTATTAGGAGAAATGCTGCCAAGTGTGTGACAAATCACCTTTTACTACAAAGTCCACTAAAGGCAGTGGAAAAAAGAACTGTTCATTTTGGTGAGGCCTGGACAGAGCACTACGGGTAAATCTGGAAAAGAACATGAAGTATCCCAGTCTGCACCTGTTCATGCAAGAGCCAGAGCACAGCCAGAACAGCAGTGAAGGTACAACTGAACAGAAAGAGCAGGACCCAGAAAACCAAGCGGAAAATGTTAAGGTAAGCCACCAAATGGGCTTAGCAACTACAAGAGGAGTCCAGATTTACTGCAGCTCCCAATTTAATTTATCAAAACCATCACGCAGTTGCCAACGGGGAACTAAAAAGGGGCAAAAGCCACCTGTCCATTTAACATCCATTCTTCTGTCCTACTGCTACAACAGCCAAGAGACCGCTCATCCCCACGTGGGTATTTCCTTCGCCTCAGGTATTTCAGTTGTTTCACACAGAACATTGATGAACAAAATAATTAAATAATATATATTCATTATGAAAGGGCCAGCGTTAAGTGACATTTTTAAATTGCATCGTGTCTTCAGACTATTTATTTTGCTAAAAATAACTTAAAAATTAACCGAGTCTTAGACAGAGAAAAAAACATTTAAACTCATGTTTTCGGATTCCAGTTTTTTATTCTGTTATCTGCACCCTCAGTATAGACAATTACAGCTACCATGAAAGTCCAGTGATCGGTTTGTAAGCTGACTCCTTATATTGCTTATGTAAAAATCCAGAAATATAATAGTCATTGATTACTGGCACTCTGGTAGGTGATATATGGTATAAAATGCAGGTTAACTGATAGATCTGTTTCAGAAATAGGCTGGTTCACTTTTAATTGTCTGTTGTCTGGGATGAAACCTTTTTCTAGTAAGCCCTTTGCATCTGTTGAGTGTGAAAAACTTGGAGAGTTGAAATTTATAGAACCTGAAAAAATTAGTATTGTGACATCCGAGTACAAATTATTATGAAAACACATATTTGCCTAAAACCTGAAATACTAAGAAATACACGTAAGCAGATTTTTGTATTTTGTTTTTTCTTTTATGAAAAAGAAAGAAAATAAAGTCTGAGTTCTAGCTTTAGAAATCTATGAAAAGAAAGAGAAATCTATTTCAAAATGAAAGTTATCTTCAGAGTGCTTACAATTGCTTTCTGCCTCTGTCTCTCCCTTTGTTTGGCCCTTTCAGATTCCCGTTTTTCATACTCTTTGCGGTATTCTTCCCTCTTCAGCCTTTCATGCTGATATTCCTCATAGCTGTCATATCTAGGAAACATAACTTAGTCATTAAATCAAGCACCTGCATTTGTGAATGTAAAATTAGTAATACAATTTCTGGAATGCTTCATTATCTCTTGAGAACCACCTGCAAAGCAAACCAAATGCAGGCAAAACGCAGTACCTGGGTCTGCGACTGTACGGTGATCTGGATCGCGATCTTGCACGTAAGGGAGAACTTCTGTATGCTCGGTGTCTACAGTGGCTGGACTCATAATAGCAACAAGATCTGCAGGAAGAAACACATTCTCCTCTGTCATTCAGTTTGAATCTATTGACACCATTTTCTACCTCTTCACCGAACTTACAATTTCTTCTAAGCTACCAGTGAGATTTTCCAGTGACAGTTCGAGATCTCCTAGTCAACTAAGGGGCCTCAAGTGATTTTTGCCCCCCCCCCCCCCCCCTTTCTGTAATGTTCCTTATTGAGGCTAACACAGAGCAGAGAGTCAGCCACTGTCAACTTCATCTGATAGGGACTGCAGCTAGATTGGCACCAGGCAGCTCGCAGATAATGGGAAAGGTTAGTTGTGTACAACTCTCACCAATTGCTCTGCTGCTGACCTGACTGTCTCCACTCAGAAAGTGTAAACTTGGCAAATTTAAAGGATAATGGCACAAGTGTTTCTGTAGCAACCCTGTAACCTTCAGAGTTAATCAGCTCACGAGCAACAGAATGAGTTGCACTGGATTGAGTTATTTCTTGTTTTTTTTCTTTCTTTCCTTTAAGTTCCTTTATGGTCTTGTTGTTCTCCTTCTTATTAACTATGATGATGATACATGAATTTGCTGTACCGTACCTTGAAGAGGATCTACTACAGGGCGACCTTGATCTCGATCGGGAATATGGAGAACGGGAACAAGACCTGCGTTGAGGAAAGGACCTTGATCTAGAGCGTGTCCTTTGGGATCTTTGAGAAAATAAGGATTTGGGTGGAGACACTGAATCTCTGCATGGAGAGTTAAAAGAAGAGCAAGAAGGTGATATATCAAATAATGAATAGGCTTGTGTCCCATCCCAAGGGTAGCATAGTTTATCACTTTCATCTTCACTGTCATCAAAGAGACCATCCATTGCTAGTCCTGAATTTATAAACATAGGTAGTTTGGAGAACTGTTCATTACTGTAATCACTGTCCCTTAGTTCTCTGGTCTTATCTGCTTCTTCATCAAAAACAGCTTGGCTGGGGTGACCAAAATGCTTATTCAGTTCAGCCCGAATTTCCTGGTCTTGGAGCTGTTTTCTGTTATTACTGTGGGATCCCTGCTTACTTGTCTGTAAAGTCTCTTTCTTGAAATACTGGTCTTGTTCTAAAGAAGAACAAATCTGACACTGCCACCCAGGTGAAGAATCCTTAAATTCTAGTTGGCTGGAGTCCTGAAGTTCCTGGGATATTTTAATGTGTATTTCCGATTTTGAATTCACAGATTGACAGTAGTCATGGTCACCAAACAGCCGCAAACTGGGCCGTTTTGTCTTTCTCTCCTCATGTCCACTGGACAGTACTGTAGTCTTGCTAAGCTGTGCATACAGCTCAGACTGTTCTGGACCCTTCTTGATTGGGTTATTTCCTTGAGAACCTGAAGACTCACTATAGCGGGGCTTTTTTGAAGGTGGTACAACAGTCTTGCATGATGACTTCGGCTTAGGTGAAGTCCTGAAAGGATTATCCTGGTTGGCTTTATGAGGAGGGGTTGTAGGTGGAGTTAGGCCTAAGGGGAAAAAAAGGAGGAACAGAATATTTTTAAGCACACATACAATGTTTATAAAGGTGGCTCACATGCTTCTTTAAAGCAGATACAAAGAAACACGCACTCTATGTCACTTTAATTTAACACTGCTAATAGTGGGAAAAAGAGTATTTAGAGTGTGAGACACCAAAGGTCTGGTAACAACAACAGCAACAGTATTAATGCATCACCATTAATCTTCAGCATCATTTCTGCCCCTCCCCTTCCTCCATGACATCTGCCTCTCTCTCTGTAGATTTTGATAGAAAAGATCAAGAGATAAAAACCAAAAGACTTTTTTGTTAAAAATCAAACAGATTTTGATATAACAAAAGTCAAAAACCTAAAGAAATTAGCAGACAAAAACCTGAATACAAGCAAGCCCGAGAAAAATAAATGAGTGCTACAAAAGGAACCTCGCTGGGACGCAGAACTTGAATGCAAGGAAGTACAGCAAGTCTACAACTTAACTGCAATGACTCTTTGTCTCCACAGTTCATTAACTTAGTAAACCATTGCTAATGTATGTATAATACATTCTTGTAAGCATAACTAATACATTTTTCCTGAAATGTGGTTCTGCAACTGAAACCCAAGTGAACTACAGGACAACTGCAACTGTAATGAACCATTGCATTTAGAACTAAATATTAGTGAGAGTCATGAAGTAGGGAGTCGAAATGAAACAGATAAGTATTTAAAGACTAAAGATACCACTAACTACCAGGATTGTTCACATAACTGTAATAGATTATATCACTATGGTGAGACAAAATTGCAGGAAGGACTACAGCCCATTCCAGTAAAAGCTGGCAACCGAAGCAGCATCTTCCAATTATTTTTATAAGGGTAGAATATAACTCTCAATATTTTCTGTAGAAATGATAGGATTTTTTCAGACTTTACAAAAGGATAATCCAGGACACCAGGGCAGAGTTAACAGCAAACTGCAGCCACTGTTCAGGAAATAATTACTCTTCAGGAGGGTACTTAGTATGTTATGTTTGAAAAATTTGCTTCCGTCCAAGTGACTCTAATGTAATTTAGAAGTATATATGCTTAAAATTAAACAAATTAGACCGAGATTAGGCAGTTCTCCTAGATAATCCAGACTATCTCTTCTTCTAGCCCAAACAGACCTTTCCATTACTTCCTTAGCAAGAGTGAAAAGAGAGGGCAGACACACTTACAGGAAATGTGTATTTCAAGCATGGCTAGAGTTTTGTTTTGTATTTTTAACCATGCAACACAGCTCAGCAGATCAATGCAAATGGAACATGTTTTATAGTGTTTTGCTGTAAAGAAGGAAAAGCGTCCATCAATGCATAGTGCTCCCTAAGGAGCATAAATGGAGACTGGGAGTCCCATTGCATTAGCTGCAATGAATTTGTTCCAGAAAAAAAGAAGATAGGAGTACCAAGGCATGAATACTTGATGTGAGAGAGAAGCTTGATTTTGTCTGAACATTTGGAAAAAATGGTTATGAGCTACCCGTGGCTATGTGAAGCCTTTGCCTAATGGCACAAAAGTCAGGGAAACTGAGGCAAAGATAATGACACCTACAACTCTAGTTACCTCAAATTTGAATTTAACAGTGAAAAAGTTTTCTGCAAAGCCATCACTATAAAACTATTTCCTTTAATTTGAGTCCTCAATTTTTTCTTCCTTCCTGAAAATTCACTTGAGGCAGCAGTGTGTATTTCACACTTTATTCACCTCCTCGCTAACAAATATATTTGACTGCCAAATTAATTTTTGGTAAAATGAAGAGATCAGTCCTCTTCAAAATTCTGCAGTAATAATTTCCAGATTAAAACTTCAGGCTCAGATTCAACAAAGATTTGAGTGAGCAAAGACTGTTTTCTAGATAGAAAATTTAAACTGTCACTTTTACTCATGAAATTATACAGCCCATGAGAAGCTCTGGGGTCAGTTACTGATTTTTTGGATGTAGTTTTAAAGAAAGAATGAAGCAGAAATATAATCACTCCACAACGAACATGCATATGTAAGAATTTCATGCAAAGAAAGCCCAGAGATAATCCAATATTCAAAATAAAATATTGTTTCCATTTCCACTTCTTTAAAGCTAGCCCCTGCAGGAAGCAAGCTAAACACAGAGCACGATTTCCAGAAGCCCGACAAGAAGTCCAACAATCTTTAGAGGAGAGCAAAAAAAAAACCCTACCAAAAAATCCCTCGCAAAAGTACAGACTGAGCTAAATTTACTGGCACTTCTCTTGCTGGCAGAACTGTGCTGGGGACAGCCTAAGAAAGGGCTTCCTCGTGGTATTTTGGCTTTTTTCCTGGTTTTCAGCAGAAGCAGGAAGTGCACAGGCAAGTAGCAACAGACAGAAGTTGCAAAATGTTCATTTAAGTTTTGAACAAACCTCCATCGGGGGATGGAGGAGGGAGCGAAGTTTTGAATTCATGTCACCGCTACGGAGTCCAGCTTCAGTGTGGACCACAACCATTCTCCAAACTGTGAACTTTGCAAAAACCAGTTGGCTGCACACTTGCTCATCTTCACACTAATCCCTGGTAATCTTCACCAAGGGCCATGATCCCACATCACCAGTGTTACAATATTCTATAACCATTGGATTACTTCATACGCGCCGATTTCTCCGCCAATGTGTACATTTTAGCGTTGACAGTACAAGGTATATTCTGTGCTCTCTCTTGAACTTAGCAGGTTTTGACAGATTTATGGAAGGACAGATGGCCATTATGGGCTGAAGGCTGACAAGAGGCAGTTCAGAGCATTGTTAACACACTTGCACAAACTCTCAGCAGTGCAGCGCTGTGCAGAATGTAATTCAGACTATAGCTTTTTTATTGCTGCCTATTTTCTTTTGTCAAAAGAGCCTGCTGTGCACAGCAACAAATGGCTGCCATTACCCAGAATGTAATGGGTGTCAGACAAATCACGTAACACAAACAATCAAGAGTATGTAGGTCATATTTCAACAGAGCACAACCTTAGCAATATTTATGATTACTGCATTGAAATGTGCTCTATAATAAACAAGTACCTCTACATCACTCACACTTATGTACTTCTGCACAGCAAATCTGTTAGAAGTGGTACATACTCTACAATCATCCCCCTTAAACAGTCTTTTTTCTTTTTAAAGTAAAAGGCAAGTATTTTTTCATGACATGCTATAAAACCACTTTCTTTGTAGGGACTTTTCTTTAATTGAATGGCTTCGGTAAATGGTACGTTTGCACTTTGCCTTGCTCTGTCTATATACTATGAACTCACTTGGTGATCTTGTGCTTGAAAATAGCGTACATCAATTTGCCAGCACTGCTGCCAAAGCGGCACTGTCCTCCCCTTGTCTGTGCAACAAAAGGTGTTTGCATGTGTGCCGACTCTGCCACCTTGGCTGAGCAACTTCTTTCAAGAAAGTCTCTGGGAGAGTGAAACTACTTTTGATACATTCCAAAACTCCACTACAAAACCCCTTAGTAACTCATTTAGCTCAGCTAGGTTGATAAGCAGAAGTTAGGGGAGTGCCTTTGCATAAAATGTGACATCTTGACTTTTTAGGATGATTTGCAATGCTGTTTTACATAGACACCGATCCTTCTAAAACTCTACTGTAACTGTTAGCATTCAAATGTTTGATGACATTTGTTGTGCTTTGAGGGGGCTGTGAGTTAGTGTCTTTTGGGGAACGCAGCCCTAGAACCCTTCTACATGTGCACTGGGCTTTTGAGAAGCATTGAAAATGAATTCTTTTATAACTTTCAAGTTTGAAAATGGATTGTCAAGGGAAACATTATTTAAGGCCACTTAAAACACTGAACACAAGATAACAGCTCAATTCAGTAAAAGAATCAGAAGAGCTTTTGTGTGGCACAAGATTGCAGAAGCCAGGAAAATATAATAAAATTAAATAGCCATCATGTTATAAAAAACTACATGCTTGTTGAGTATTCAGTTTAATCCTGTTGTCAGTGCTGCAGAGAATAAACACAGACGCCTGAAAATATCAAATAATTTACTAGATTTTATTCCCTCTGGAGAACTCTCTGCATCTCACATCTCATTTTATTGGAAATCATTCTGAGGTCAAACAAGTTCTTATATGATAGATTTTAAGTATTTGTTCTGACAACTAAGAGGTAACACAGATCTAAAGGTGGGCAGGGTATAAGTATCCTCAAGGATGCTCATGAATTCCAAATCATTATTCAAGCTGATGGCGTTCATATAGCCTTTTCTGTCGTCTTTTTGGAGAAATCAAATTTTGCACCCAAGACAGACCGGTGAGGAGTTTTATGCTCAGGTAAATTACAGGGATCTGTGTGCAAATGAGAGACTTTTCACCAAGTCACCTGTTGTAGATCAGAGGGTGGAAATAGCCCTCCAGTTACTGATTGAGCCTTAAGCATGTAAACTCACTTCATGCACTTACATGATGAGTTGAGCTTTAAAAAGACTCTGAGAGAACAGAGAGAGCTGAATTTGAAACATTTAGGAGCCATGCCACCTAACTTCTGGCATTTAGAAGCTCAGCAGAAAGTCTAAGACGATCATTGAGGAGCCCTCGATCACCAAGGAAAACACAGTCACTTCCAGAGGGTAAGTCATCCTCCTAGTTCCTGTGCCTGCAGGTGCCCCCTCAACCTGACTGGAAACAAAGAGGAAAGAGGTCTTCCAGTGACACAGAAACGTCCCATGTTCCTGGAAGACATTAGCGAGGTTCAAGCCCATGGCCTCTTAGCAAGGTGTTGGCAATGCAGCTAGCTGTGGAAGCAAAGGGAGAAGGACATCTTGCAAGCCTTCTACTCAGAATTGCCTTACACAGAAATTTCACCCACTACATTACCATCACCTAGGACTCCCTCCACATCATGATGTTCTTGTCCATTTTCCTTAGAATAGTACATGAAATCAGCTGCAGGAGTCGGGATTTTAGATAGCAATGGACTTATTCCTCTATCATAGGCCACTTACTTAACATGCATTCAAAGAATTATTATGTGTGGCTTGAAAATACTTTAAAAAATATTTGCTCCTTGTAATTTTACAAATCAATGTTTTGACAGTTTTGGGGAGGACAAAGTTACATTCACAACTACTAACAAATCCATTGTAAAGCAAGATACAGCATTGGGAAGAGAACAGTTTCAGTTTGACTTTAGATACATGAATCCAAAATGTGCGTGTGACGAAGATTGATGGCTCGTGTGGGAAATGCTTTTATTTTATTTTTCTAGTCTATAGTTAATTCATCAGTGAGGGAACCAATGTTGTTTCAGCAGAGAGATCAAGGGAGCTGCTATTTATATTAAAATACTTCGTGCTTCGATAGTGCGAGCAGCACTGCTAATGGTCTTTTCAATTCGGCAGTAAGATCAAGGCAACTCCTATTTAAATTATAATAAATAGTGCTTGTACAGTGCAAGCTGCCCTATATAAGGACAATGAGCAATGCGGTTATCTGGATATAATTTGGAGTTGCCAGGGTCTCACTAAAGAACTCCAAGGTATTATTAATCACTACTGCCACTATTTTTTCCCCCTTTTTTTGGTTTGTTTTTTTTTTTTTACTGAAGTGGGTCCCAATTCTGTCATGATTTACTCACACACACGGTAAGTTCTTCAGTACTCGAGGTTGTTTCTGTTACGTACTTGTCTGCTTCCAGCACAAGCAGACTCATGACACAAAACACTACTGCAATACAAATGAGTTAAAAAGTAAGACATGCACAACCACTCACCTTTTTATAGATTTATATACATATATGAATACAAAAACAAAGTCTAGTGTATGTGAAGGCAGAGAATAATACAGCTACCAAGCAATGAAATGCAATCTCCTGAAATCTCCTCACCATGCATTCTGAAGACCAGAGCAAGTGCAACATGAAGTCCAAGAGCCACCATCATGTATGCAGCTTGGTAACACTGCCCCAACTCCCTGGCCACACATGCTCCATCAACTCTTATTCTTCCTGATTATCATCAGTTTACTTTCTAGCTAGACTCTATTTACTTCCAGAGGGAAAAAAGGTCATGTTTTCATAGTACAACGTTCCTGTTCATATATTCATCCAGTTGTGCTGTTTCACAGCTTCTGATGCATTTTTGATGTGCTAGTTCTCCTGGTTTTATTGTCTAAGACAACTACAGAGCTGTTTTGTTTCCTCCTCTGTGCACAGCTGATGGAGCAGGATGAATTTGGTAATACCAAGACCATTCCCGTTGCCATTATGGAGGCAATACTAGAGGACAATCCAGGGCTCAGACTGACTCCCAGTTTCTGTCTAGTCAGCTGATGGCAAGAGCAGGCTGCTGACTTTCTGGCTGGGGGAGAACACTGCTCCCTTCATGATTTCAACAGCTGCTTGTACCACTCTGCTGTAGTCACCTCATCTGCCCCTTTCAGTTGGCAGTGCTAAGCACTGACTCACCAGCGTGCTTACAAATGGGCACCCTCATGCAGGTTTGCTCTCCAGTAATGATAAAAGAGGCTTCTCCATGTTTCAGGCCTACAGGCACTGAAGGGGATTATCCTGCTACACACAGTGAATTTTGCTGTGTTTGTGTTGGTTTTGCAAAAAGAAGGTGCATTTTGTCACCAGAGGAATGATTAAGACTGCAGGTTTTCAGGACATGGCAGAGGAAAGTGTGCATGTTTTAATGCTGAACTAATGAAGAATTTTCTGAAAAAGTGAAATGATTGTTGTAGGGAGGTGAAAGCCCAAAGTACATACATAAATCTAGTGCTTGGGCCTGCTCTCATGTAAAGCTGCCACTGAATTTAGGGGCAAGCTGATTTATGGTACCTGAAGACAAATTTCACAATGCCCCCCAAAACGCTAGAGATCACATAATTTACAATCCACTGTTATCCTGAGAGAAACACATGACAAGTATATCTCTTGTTTTTCACTATTACACAACTGAGAAGGAAAACAGTCTTGGCAATAGCTCAGGTGGAGCTCAACATGTGCTCTTGTACTCAGTTCTGGACAATTCAGAATAACAGAGGCAAAACAGAGTTCAGAGGAAAGCAATAAAACAGATCTGAATCTGAAGGAATTGACTTTAGCAGAAAGAAGAGCAGATGAATTAAATGAGTGCACTGGGTGGTGCATGAACTAAACCAGCACATGATAAAAAATCCACAAATCTTCAAAAGGTACAAACGCCAGGGATCTGAAAGGAGGAGGAGGATAAAGGCAGGTTGTGTGAAGTGTGCTAATGGAAGAAATAAAAGAGAAAGCAAGAATGTAAAATGAATACCAATTTAAAAAAATTACCTCTAAGCTATGGAACAGTTTGTCAGTGGTAGAGGAGAAAGCTGTTATTTGTGACATATTAATCTAGAATTGACAAAGCACTGAAACATGCAGTCACGTACAGCCCTAGACCGGCCTGGAGACAGACTGGATGACATAACTTTTCCATCTGTAACATCTATTACACTGTGCTGTGGGGTTTGTCTTTGAAAGATGATGCTCAGCAGTACACAAATCTATGGGGAAATGGGGAAGTATAACAGATAAATGGTTTCATTCATATTTTCCCAGAAATTATGCTCTCTTGTGTAGGTTTGGAGCCATATTTTCAAACACATTCTTTCTCAGGTAACTGGATAAAAACTCAATGCTAAACTGCACTGAAGTTAAACTACTGGAGACCTCTGTGAGATCTTGGTGTACATGTGGTATATTAAAATGAACAAACACACACACGAGCCATGCTTAAAGGAAGAGCCAGCACTCCCCATTTCTCACCTGCAGTTCCAGAGAGTTCCACACTTAAGGTTTGTTCAATAGTCTTGTTCTCAAATGGGGAACCCTTGGGATCACTGGAAGACAGGGCACATTTATAAAAACAAGCTGAAATGGAGTTGCTGTAGCCAAAATCTATTGAACCCCCCTCCCTTTCATAAATGTTTGCACTTTTTAGTACTTACTTTGGTGACTCGGGCGTCAATGGAAGTGATAAACTTGTTGGTTTGGCTAAAGGGAAAAAGAAAATGATTATGGGATATTTAAACACACCATAATGTATACTAAAAAGATTTCTTTTTATTTTGGTGCTGGAATCCCATGTTAGTCAGTTAGGGCTGAGCTCTGATAGTTCAACAGCCATTTCAGTGTATCTTAGATAGATAAATAAGGAGGCTCATCCTGATACCTTATTACTGGTACCAAAAGGGCACCTAAATTTCCACAGTGATTTACATCAATTACTGTACCTCTGAAATACAGTACACAACCCAAATGCCAAGAACCTTTCTGAAGAAGAATGGTACATGTTAAAAATCAATGACGAACTCTACAGGATACACTTTGAAAATGTTATTCCTCTTACTGTTAATTTAGACTACAGTTCACGTTTTATTTGGAAACAGGAGCAGCAGAATAACTACAAAGTAACAGAACGTTATGAATATTCAGTTAATTTTACTTCTACAATATACAATTTTATATATAGCACTGAGAATAGGTTGTTTCTGTAAGGCCAGAGTCCAACCAGTTATAGTCCAAATTTCTGCAAATTATCCTGCAAACTATGACAAGCCACGGACATAGTCACAGATGGTTAAAAATGGGGTTGAAGCTCTCAGCACTACAATCCCAACATACACAAAAACCAAAGCTCTAGCTATAAAAATACAAGTATTTGTAGCTTTTATTCTTGCAAACTTGTATTTTCCCAAAGCAAGCCAAGAACTAGGATACTGTAATACAACTAAGATTCCTTTAATTGCCAGTAAAATATTTTAAAATTTTAAATAGTATTACTTGAAAATTTTACTTCTCAGAAGTTGGATTGATGTTTAAACACAGAGAGCATTGTACCAAGAACAACAGCAGGGGATCTCTTCTGCAGATTAATTACTTAAGACAAAATGTTCCCCTTGAACACTCCTGCACTGCAGATCTTTTGTCCAGAGTGTCACTACTGCGTATTTCGTATTCACTCCAAGCTTGGAGCTCCCATCAACATTAAAGGATTTTATATGCAAATTGATTACTTTTATAAGCTCCAGAGCATTCTGAAGTAATATTACATTTTTTTTAAAATTAACTCAATTCTCAAGAGCTGCATATTGTTTCTCCTCCTCCCTATATGAAAGCTAGAAATGGAAGCTCAGGTGTTCACCTCGGGTTCACCTTCCTCAGAAGTCACCACTGGAGTGAGGAGATGCACCTCAAAAAGTTAGTTGCCTGATCCAGCACTGCAGCTGATTTGTGCATAAAACCAGGTGCGGTAAGACTGAATGTAACCTGACACATCTTTGTGTGTATTTTATATACAACTAGGGATACTAATGTTTGCCAGTGGCTACCTAGAGGTAAAACTGGCTTAAAAAAACAGACCTTACAGTGAGGCTCTGGAATAAAGTTTTATACAAAGGCTTCCACTTTTTATTAGAGGATAAAAATCTCATATTCTTACCCAATTTAGGCTTTCTAAGGAAGTTGAATGCGTAAGAGCTATTTAAGCCTCTAAAAGGTTTCATTCTAGCTCTCATTAGTCCCACAGAATAGTCCCACATCAGAATATAGATATAAAATTCTGAAGCACTAAGGCACAGTGAAAATCTGCCAGAGATGGACACAGAACCAAGGTGTTATCTCACACTCATCTGTATTCATTTTAGGCAGGTATCACTGAGCTCTCCCACTGAGAAATTCACATACCAAAACACCCATCAGTTTTCTTATTGCTAGGCAAGGGCTTGACCAAACAGTATTCCTGCAAAGGATTCATCCTCACATACAGCTATGGATAGTGTAAATATTTTACCAAGACACTATCATTTTCCATGGTGCCTGCCTATTAGAGTTGCAAGGTCTACTGTGGTATGTTTTTTTTCTTATTAAAAAGGGTTCGCATGAAGTTGCTTGTCCCTGTAAATTGAAAACATTAAGGTTCAAAAGAACTAAGTTTCCTCATGGGCAAATTTCAATGCAAAACCACAGATGATCTTTGGCATGAATAGGTTTGTGGACATTCCCGTGGGTTTGCAATATGTTTGCAACAGTAACCCTAAAGGAAAATACCATTTGACTTATCCTTTGTGAGCTTTCCTTAACTTTGAAAGAAAATATCAGACCCTGACTATTTTTTAAAACAGAAGGAGTCAATTTTCTTGTACTTTTGATTAAATGTATGAACAAATGACTGCAAGTCTGCAAACGTCAGTTAAATTTGCAAGGTTGATTCTGTATGAATTGACTGTCCAAGCTGAAAGCATTATATTCTTGTATTTGTATTATATGCAAATCCATTGATATTGAAGTCATATATTGGTGTATGAGGCAAATCTGATGAAAAAACACCATTTCAGAAGCCTGTAAATTAAACTGCACGAATTAAAGAAGAGAGTAATTTCTCTCTGCCTGCAATTTCACCTGCATTACCACCAAAGTCACAGTGATCTGTTAAACACTGGTAAGTTAGCTATATGTCCCCTTGGACTTTCCTAACCTCTCCTTCCGCACTGTTTCCACAACCCAATGTGCCCTGCTTCTTTGCACTGAATCTATACAATTGCCTCAGCTGAGGAAAAAAATGCAGCTCTGATCTGAATAGGAAGATTTTAATCTGTAATTATGTGTGTGTGCGCACACATCTATGTATGTGTGTAACATATATGTGCATATAGCACACGTTGTACATGTTATACATGATATACCTTATCACATATCACTGTAACACCCAACAGTGTTAATAAAGCCCCCTGTAACTTCTGGTAGGTCTATGCTTTAGTACCATTGCAGTAAGAGACCCAGGTTTTACACGTACAGTTCAGTCTGGATTTTGCTGTGAAGCAGACTGCTGAAGCCATCCAGAAGGAGTGGCAGTTGGCATCCAAGAAGCTCTAGGGGCAGTTGGATTTCTTTCTTAGAAGAAACATTGTTCAGAGAATTTGAGACCATAATGGGGAAAAGTATACTTAGGATGTCAGAATGTACAGCTGCGAGAAGGGTATTTAGTGGCGGGAAGGGAAGGTTATTTTTATTAAGTTTGCTTATACTTCCGAGTGAAGAGTGAACAATTAGATTTGATGGGGGCTGATAGTGCAGGGAGGGGGGAGGGGAAAAGAAGAAAAAAACATATACTGTTTACAATTGTTGCTTTAAAAATACCAGAACAACACATTTAGGGTCATATCCTGATCTCTGTTGCAGCCAGATAACTTCCATTGACTTTAGTGGAGTCATCCAGGATTTGCATTGATGTGACTGATAGGCACCTGGCCTTCTAGATGCCAGGTCACTATAAATACATAGATGTATTTTAAAGTAACAGTAACTTTTTAAAAAGCTCCCCTTGTGCTCGTAAGCTTTTACAGTTTTCCTTTATCTTGGGAAAAGAGGCAGGGGAAGAGGGGGAGGGAAAGCAAGAGAGGGGACTTTAAGTTCTTGGATCTCTGTCATAGAAGTATAGACCAGTTCTTTATGCATCGGGGGATACTAAAAGTCAACACAAGTGTTTAGTTTTGGCCATAAAGAATCTAAAAAGAGAGAGAAAGATCAAGATGGCAGCTAAACTTTCAACTATTTACAAAATAAAATTACAAACCGGCATTCCAGCTTTAACAGGAATGACACATTTACTGCTTTCTCTGTAGCAGTGAGAACACTATTTATTGTCTCTTAAGGACTATGTGGCAGGTTAACAATGCCTTCAGTTTTACGCTAGCAAAAAAGAAAGAAGCTCACTAATGAACTGGCCTGCCCAGCTTGTTTAAGGGTATAATGATTTCTTAGTGGTATGGTACTCTGTGAATAAGTATCTCCAGCTAGCTTGTTATATTAACATGTGGTATTTGTTAAACATTTTTTTCCTGAGATTCTTTTTCTGAGGCTGGGAGCAATAGAGACAGGATTAAAATTGTTTAAAGGCTAAATCTAGCTAACTAATTCTAACTTCATTACACTGTTTTAAAATTCTCCCTACACAGAAGAGATGCTGGGTTTACAATACTAATCCAAAGCACAGAAGAGGTATCAAGGGTATTCACATCCTCGGTATTTCAGCTTCCCTGCGTTACTGCTGGTACCAAAGCTGTGTTCTGCAGTCCCACACCTACCTTGCAGATGATTTGTCTGAGACTGCAGATGGGGCTTCCTTTTGGAGGTGCATTTCTCTTTGCTGCTGTTCCTGTTCTCTGCTGGTTTGGTCTGAGGAGGGTCATCATTCGTAGTCAGATATTTGAGAAGTTCAGAGCAGGGACGTCTTTGAGGCTTTTGCTGTTGACAAATGCTCTTTGCTTTATTGCTCCATGAATTCTCAGTCTTAAAAACAGGGCATAATAAAATAAAATAAAATAAAAAAAAATAAAATTAGTGAGCTGAACCTTATCAGAAAGGATATAGGTTTTCTGAAGAGATGAGATTTTCAATGAAGTGTTCAGTCTAAGTGTACTAGATCTATGAGCTGTGAATAATTGTTTGCAGAACAAGGAAAGAAAATTACATTTAAAATTCCTAAATGACATTTATGCAGCTTTTTATTTCATTTCTCCTACATTTCAATGTTCCTACTCAGCAACATGTAACTAACAAGACCCTACAGCGCCTTTACTGTGAACAAAAAAATAAGCTGGTTTAAACCTTAATTTGCTGCTGATTGCTTGAGCCCAGTATTCACAACTCTCTTAAGTACCCCTAAATGCTCCGTTTTCAGTTACAGTGAATGGCAAGACAAACATTGTTTAATACTGCCTGCTAACAGAATTATGTCAGAGCCCCCATTCTATCCAATTAATGGCTGATATACATCTTTTGCCAAGAATCCAGTGTCATTTTTCTTAGCTCAGACAGCTGGTAAAACGGCAGTTCCGCATCCTGGAGTCACTCATAAACAACACCAGCCCATCAGCAAATTTTATCGTACCCCCTACTACTCTGTGTATCAATAAAGTAGGCGAGAGTAACAGACGGTGGGACTACAACTGAACTCTGCCAAGAGAAAAAGCATAAATGAAATATTCAGAGCATAAAGGAGCTCAGGTGATCTTCTGGAACCCAGTCTATAATCTGTTCACTTTTTTTTTAAAGCAGCTGAAAGACTGTAGGCAGATTAATACAATACATATAGATCTACTGCTTGCTTGGTTGGTGAAAGCATAAAAGAACTTGTTACACTTTTTCTTTCCCTTTTTTTTCTTTTTTCCTTATTACAAAAATTAAGTTTGTACCTTAACAACCACAGGGCTTGTTCTGATCCTGTGATTAGTGTTTGCATGGTTTTGTGTGCTGAGACCACTGCATTCATTGTAATTTAGCTGAGTGTTGGCTGGAGCCAGCAAGAGCTTCTTAAGCTACAAACACATCAGGGAAAGGGAGGTGGAAGGAAAAGAGTAAAGTTATGCATCTTTATGGATTAAAATTACTTATATACATTTTTGCATAGTTACTTAAAGTTAGCTGTATCAATTTCAGCAAGCAAAGTACAATTAGACAGAAAGAAGGGCTTGATATTCCCCAGAGCAAACAGATCTCATTTTCTTCTGGCTTGGCGGCATATTTCTGCTCCCTTTACTGCAGTATACTGTGGGGCAAGCAGAAATGACAGGGGTCTTGGATTTCTGAATCCATGGCAAAATGAAATTCTCGGCGATCTGTTTGGACAGAAGAGGCCTCTCATCTAAACAGAGATGTTAACTTTAACAGACTAATGGATACAGCATCAAGATGCAGGTATCTGGCTCTGCTTCTGCAGAAGCCAGTGATAAGGGGCTTTCAGCAGAAACAGAATCACATCTCAAACTGGTTTTACTGAGCAAAATGCATATAAGATTTCACCCACATCCTCACCCAAGCTTCAGTTTCACCCTGATTAGCACTAAGCTGGTGCTTACTGGTCAAATCAATGTTAAAGGCACAAAATTAGCCCCACATCCCACCAGACTCAATGGGCCTTTCTTTACAGATCACCAAAAGTGACATCTAAACATACATACCAAAAGAGCCCCGAGAAATGAAATATGAATTAAAACCCATTACCCTGACTTATCTGAACAGAATGATAAGCAAAATTGTCAGCCATTAGCACGAGAATCTCAAAAACAATCTCTTCAACACACTTTTTAATAGATTGTCTGATTAGTCATCCTATGGCTATTTGGTGGGTTTTTTTCCCTACTTAATTTTCAGTTTTTTACTTGATTTTCCTTTCCAGTCTAAATGAAAAGTCCAGACCTTACTGTGACTACATCATACCCATGCAGCGGGTAGCCAGAGGCACATCCAATTCCTGTTAAACAGTAGGAAGGGTTCTTACTAGAGACGGCTCTTCTGCCTCCTGAGTTGGAGGGGTGCCGTCGGGCATTGGGGAAGGGCTAGTGGCATTTTCGTTGGTCACATCTCCATCTGTCAGTGCATCAAATGAAGGCAATCCATCCTCATCCACAGGGATGCTGTCCAGTGTTTCAGTGAGAACGGCTAGCAAGTTTGCCTCACTCTCTTCATCTATCTTCTGTGGGAGGGAACAAAACAAAAAGCGGAACCAGTTGAGAAGAGAAAAGGAACAAACCAATACCTCTCTATGTGAAAACGCAGTCAAAACATAGTTAAACCAGCCCTTGAAACAGTAACCTGCAACAGAATCTCAAAAGATGTAATTAAGTGCAATAAAATGACCCATCTCTGCGTTCAAGAGAAATCTGTTTGCACTCGCAGTGTATTGCTCTAGTTTACTTTTCTTCCACAATTCTTTTTTTTCATCAGGTGTTAACAACGATAAGTAATCACCCAGGGATTGTATTACAGGATGCGCCTAAGCTGCTGACACCTAATGATGGTGTCAGCCCTGGCTGTCTTTCTTTCTCTTTTCAACACTGAACACCAGCTAATTGACCTGACAAAATTACAAGAATGAGAGAATACGACAGCTAATCAGAAGACCAAAATGAAATTACCAGGGAAATTTGGAAAACCTTGTTCACATATGCAGCCCGGTGTAAGCAAGAGTTTCCCTCCCATACTTCTGGAAATCCTTGCTTCAAACCCAAATGAACAACTTCTCATTCTTGAGCATTTTGGCATAAGACTAGCCATCGGGACTCATATAGTAAATGGCAGGCTCTTTGTGTTTCTTTATGAGAAATGTTTTAGGCAGGTTGCCTTTGAAGTTGTCCTTTCGAGTTATGTCGTTTGAGTGCTCAATGAGACTATTGTATGCATTTATCTAATTCAGACTGCAATTACAAAAAGTAGATTAATTTCTAATCAGATGTGGCTGTAATGTTAATTTATATTAGATATCTTATTTCAGCAACAAGACTTCTTTTTGTCAAATTGAGTAAATTTAAATGCCTTCTGATTTTTAAATGAAATATAGTCCCTACTGTATATTAAGGTTCAGATTTTTTGGAGTACTGAGAGTTCTGAGGAATAGAATTGTGTAAAAATCATTATATTTATTTTTCAGAAAGACTGGAAATTGATCTTGACAGATCAATTATCTAGGATTCCTGGGCTGATCCTAGTGCTGTTAAAGAAAATGAAAAGCCTTTCACTAACTCTAGGGATATCAAATTGGGAGTTTTTCTACCAGCTTCAGAGTGGCTCATCATGCTCCAGGTTCACACTGTGAAGAGATTTCAGCTAAGTTCAAATCTCGCAGTTTAGAAGTGAACTAGCAAAGGATACACCAGTAAGACAAACAAACAAAAAAGAAGTTAAAAAAGTCAACAAGAAAACATTGCCGGTTACACCTCAGAAGAAAAAAAAAAAAAAAATCAAGTGAATCTGGGTATCCCCTTAGCGTGACTTTTTTCAGTAATACTTTTATCTACCAGACTCTGAACTGAGATGCTCATAAACCACACAGATAACTGCTCCTGCCAGGCTTCTCTGCCAAATCACACCTCACGGCTTCTTACAGAAAAACTCTGTCTTCGAGCTAGAAAGCTACAGCAGAGCACAGACTGTTCTGGTGCTTACAGCATCATCCCCAAGAAACAAAGAAACACTCAGGCAAAGCTAACGCTAAGGAGAAGCATTTACTTAAAAGGCCAAAAGGGGCTTGGCCACTGAGAAAAGGAGTCTAAGTTCCGGTATCTGGTGACTTCCACCATACCAAGCAGACACATGCACAGTGCCATGATAATTCAGTGTGCAGAGGAAGGAAATAAGCAGAGGGCAGCCACCTTGCGAATAAAACCATGCTCCAAGTCCAGCTTTTCACAGCCACTTTTTGAGAAGAAAGGAGGAAAATTACAGTATCGCTTCTAGAAAAGTACGAAAAGGCATTACTGGGCAAAAAAGTGCTTTACAGTGTAACAAAGCACCGACTTTTTTTCCCAATGGCATTTCAAGCCCCTCACAGGTGGTGGGATGAATGGTGGCGAGAGCCCGGCATGGCTGGGGGCAGGTCTGGCTGCCTGAGCCCCTGCCCCACACCAGCAACTTCTCCAGCAAGGCTGGCTGGTGGGGTGCACCGCTGAACCTTGCAGCTTATAAAGCTGACAACGAAGCTGGAAGTGTTACTATTTCTAATGGGGAATGCCTTCTTTAATAATAGCATGCCAGAAGAAACCCTGATATTTGCTGTTAGTTGCTCAGCTCTCGTGCTTTAAGCAGACATTCAAGTGCACTGACATTCAAGAACAGAAAGTTGAGTGGACACCGGTCCTCATCACAGCAATTTCAATTAGTTTTGTACAAGTTTCAACATTCAAACACCCCAGAGAAAGCAGAGGATGTGACAAAGAGGACTCTGTTAAACAATTAATGTCACTTTCCATTATTGCTTCAGTCCCAATTTACAGAGCAAATAAATCAAAGTCACCACAGATGAAGCACACTAGCTGGCTAACACATGTCTATTCACAAACGACATGGCAGCAGGAACACATTAGTCAAGAAAATGACATTGCTAGATAACCTTTTAAAGGTTTAACTATGCTATTGCTCCTAATTGTCCTAAATTACTGTTTATAAAGAAACACAATTCTTAGATACAGCAGAAATGGTGCTGAGGGGAGATGTGGAGGGAGAGATGGTCGGGTGCATCAATGTCTGAGCAATAATCACTGAAGCAGCAGCTTTCTGCTTTGCTATTGCAATGTGAGTCTTGGTGTTGACAGCACTGGGGAGAAGCAACGCCATGGCCAAATGCAGGCTCCTTCACGGTTTCAGCACTGTCACCGCAGAAGTTCACATTTCAGACTGGCATCCAACCTGCGCATCACACGGGCTCGGTGAATCAGGAGGAGCTGAGCACCTTCGATCTCTGCCGAGGTCAGAGGACGTGCAGTGTGCTCTCAGGAACTCGCTCCACCTTGTCCCTAGCTTCCAAGCAGGGTCACACTGAAAGGGTTTCCTTCATCTAAAGGAGGAGATCCTAAGTATTTAGACCACCTAAATAACTACAGTGTGTAAGAAAAAGGGGTGGAGGATAATCTCAAATGTAGAGCCATACAGCAAATACATGCAATTATTAAAAGCTTACGAAAACAATTCACAATGATTGAATCTTGCTAACTAATGGGTACTTTTAATACACAAGCAGTTACGCATCGCTTCCCAGCCACACCACATTACCTTCTTAACATCCTTGGTTGTTAGTTTAACATAAAGATATTGGGGCCAGAGGTTTTTTGACCCCTGTAAATTTTTACCCAGCTGAAGGAGACAAGGAACCCAAGTATATCACTGAATGCACATGCTTCCACGTTTCTGACAGCAAAAATTTCTAGCGTATCCACAATGGCATTAGCTCTGAAAAGAAATAAGAGTTGGCATGGGTGTCACTGTGCATGGGCGAACGCAACGGGGAAAGCCGGCTAGTGCTGTAAACTGCTGGAACACCAACCAATCCTCAAAAATGAGTGGTCTAAGAGTCTAAAGACCATGAAAAGTTTCTAACTGTGCTCTTCTCTGCTTTTACATGTTTTGCTCTAATGCTTTAATATTTCTACAGCACTAAAAATAATTCTCTGTCTGAAAACGCTTTATTAGTTGTGTAACAATCTCATTCTAATTGGGTTTCTGCCTTCAGTAAAATGTCTCCAGAGATATTCTCTCTTTGGCCAGTGAAAAGCTATATGAAATGAGTTGATAATTTACGCACACAAAGGTATTTAAATCCTCTACCCCTGATAATTCTCTCTCTTTTGCTTATTCTGCCTGTTGATGGAGCTGGGTTCACCTCATGGTTAGCATTTTATGTCTGTAATACCTGTTACTTGTTGGCAATCCCATTACAGAGGCCAAAGACTGAGCTGTAATGGAGACTCAGCCACCTTGTCTTTCACATGCATTGCTTTAGGGTGCTTTTTATATTGAGCAATGGTGTGATTTTTCCTTAGAATTTTCTTCCTTTAAAAAAATCATGCAAAATTTTAAAACCACCATCATTACCATCACCAATCCCTTCTTGGAAACCTTGAAGCCAGTGTGCAGATGTCCTGATGCAGGACTCTCCTGTAGCTCTCTCGCAGTCAGCACAGGTATGCTGATTCACTCCAGAAAACAGTCAAGCCCATCATTTAGAAAATCTTTTCCAAATGTTAACAGTATCTCCAACACCTTGCCTCTGGTTGATTCCCCTCCACCTTTCATTTGCGATTACTACATGCAGAGCTTTTGCTTACTGTATCTCAAGGAGTGAAATCAGCTAATGAATGATGATGCTTTAAAGTTTCTTTACTGATAATTTGAACAGTGTAGGGCCCTGTCACGATTCATACTGAAAGATCAGGGTCCAAACTGCAGTATTAATCCACAGCCCCGAGGAGCTGGGAGCAGTGGCAGCTTGCCACATCTTCGTAAAAAGCCCAGGAAACTTTGGGACAGATCCACAGCTGGTAGAAGCTGTCACTGCTCCAGCAGCCCAGCTTGGTAAGCAATTCAGAGCAGCCAGGTGTACACCTGAACTCACGAGGGATCACCATTTCAACATATCGACTCATTTCTCCTCAGTAGCCTACGATCTATTCATAGCACAATTAACAACGAAAATAAAAGATTTTCCTCCAGCTGAAAATATCCGAGTGATCTAAAAATACTAAATACATTATGGCACTACTTTCAAAAGCACAAAAATGACTTGTGAGCACATCTGGGACTTCCATCAGGATTTAATTCCTTAATGACACATTTTGGAATAAGAACGTCCTTAAGATTCACACCACTAGGAGAAATGAGGGGTACAGATTTGGCCCTTTTTGCATATAGGGCTGCAGAGGCACTGAAAAGCTCACCAACACCACACCAGCCCTGAGCACCTCCTGTCAAAAAACATGCAGGAGTAGGGACAGATGGTATCTCAGCCCTGGCCCCACAAACCAAGCTTTGCCACCTGAGGATAAGGAGCTGTAGGCTGGGCAGAAACACAGGGAAGGTAGGAGGAGGGAAGGGATTAGGATGCAGGCTGGTCTTCCTTGCTCCTGCCAGTGAAAAATGAGAGCTGAGGTCAGGGACGGTGAAAGGGAAGAATTACAGCCCAAGTTTTCCCTCTTCTGGAGCAGA